TCGATCTCCATGCACTCGAAGTACCGCTCCATGTGCCAGAAGAAGTTGTCAATCTGGCGAGCATTCCTTGCCCCATCATACTCCTTGGGCTCCGGCGCCTTCTTCTTCCTTGGCTTCACCACGACCTCGCGCGTCTGGGTGAATTCCTTCTTGCACTCGGCAATCTCCACGCGCAAGTCGTCTACCAGATCATGCAAGTCCCTTTCCTTCTCTTGCGCCTTGTTGGCGATGCCATCAATCAGCTCGTAGATCTCCGCCATCCTTCTCTCGAGCCTATTAAACTTAGTCTCCGTGTAGACCAAGTGTGTGGCAAGCTTCTCCTCCAAGCTCTGCTCTAAGATGTGGACTTGGTGGTCTCCTCCGCTAGCCATGTCTACTCCAACAAAGCTCCCTTGACGAACCTGGCTCTGATACCAACTGTCACGGGCTTAGAGTTTCAGCACCACTCTAGCTGCTCCCGTGCGGCACCAAGACGTTGCTTTCACTCTCGCAAGTACTTGGTCAGCCTAACTCCCGTGCACACCTTAGCCAACACACTCCCCTCGTGCGCTTACTAGTGTTGTAGTTGCCCTCGCCCTCTCCTCACTTGGCTTGCACACTCACACACACTAAGGCACTTAAGTTGGCAAGGAAAGAACACTTCTATTACTTCAAAGAATGCTTTGTACAAGGCTAGCACTCAAGCTCTCTACAAGGCTCTCAAGACTTACTCTAGGACTTGTTGGTTGCAAAATGAAGTCCTACTCCTATTTATAGGCATCCCCATCCCCAATGGACGGCTAGGATGCATTTTAACCGATGGTGGAGATCGATTCTCTAGAATCTTCTCCCACCTTCTTCACACTTCCATACTTATCCATAAATATCTACAACATTCTAGAACTCTCCATACTACTCCACACAACTCTGGAGAACTCTAGAACCTTCCACACACTTCTACATATTTCTACACATATCTAGAATCTTCCACACAACTCTAGACTACTCCGGAAGACTCTAGAAATTCCACTTGCCATGCAGTTGCCATGCAGCATCCTCCTCAGCGTCTGCGTGTCGCCTGCGTGGCACAACCTCCATAGGCGGGGCGTGACACTTAGGTCACCAAAATATTACTACTGTAGTTGACTCGGCTTTACTCCACCTGCAAGAAATCTCAACTTCCCCATAATACCCTTCAAACTGCAAGTTGGAAGACTGACATATGCCTGTATTCGTCTAATTAGTCAGTCATTTATGGAACCCTAAGCACTAAATTGAAATCCCAAAATGCAGTAAGGTTTTAATGAAACATATGTCTTGTTGTGCCAACTCATTCTTCAAAACCTAAAATGAAGTAATTTTAAATCAAATCCCCATATAAAATGTAAGAGCTCTTAAAATTCAACTTTTTTTTTTTTTTTTTTTTTTGAATTGTGGTACTGTGTGCTTTGTTTGGCCTTGTACAGATTTTAAGTAATGCGTAATTTTGTGGGCATTTTTAATTGTTCTATATTACTGAGCATGTATGTATATATATTTTATATTTATATCAAATTTTATAGAGAAAATTAAAGTAAATATGCTACCGTTTATGCTTTCAATATTATCCAATAAATTTGAGAAAAAAAAAGTTAAAGAGTGGATGAGTCACGTTGTAGTGTTTACAAGGGTAGGAGTTTGAAAAAAGACTATTCCGTTACATTTGTACATGTACGCAAAATTGTCGCAATTAGTTTCGATTTGCTTTGTCTTATCTTTTCAATCCAATCAATTTCTGAAAAAATTAATAGAAGAAATTCCTCTCAAATTAAGTTATTTATAATTTTATCACATCAACCAATTGGTAACTGAAAATTCCGGTGCTGATTATCTATATATATATATATATATATATATATATATGGATCCTTTACTGGTATTGATATACACACAAACGAAGGGCAAACACTTGATGCCAGCTAAGGACAAACAGATGATGCTATTAGACAGTTTTCAACAGCCGTCTACTCCATAATATAATATATATATATACATATACATACACACACTCTCTCAGTGGTCAACAATCGTCTTGTAATGATTGCTGCAAACAGCCTTTCAGTGTGTGTTAAATGAGTTGGTGCTATAACGAAGAAAATGACTGATACTCTCTCACACAGAGTTGGAGATATTCTGTTTCATAGTACATCGTTTTCATTTTTTTTTTTTTTTTGGCAAAATTGTCAATATAGCCCTTCATGAGAGACCAAGTGTGTGGGTATTTGTAAGTTGTAATTTCTTGTCGAGAAAGGGCAAGTATGTAATTTCAATTTTTATTTAGACTATTTAAATTGTAAATTGCATTTTCCTTGTAAGCAATTATATAATGACACTTGACACCTAATGTCCTTTTCCTTGCTGCATATTCTCTCCCGCACAGTACCATTATCTATCACTTAATATGTATTAGCTGCATATTCTCTCCCATGCATTGGCACGCGACTTTATTATTCAAACAATTTTTTTTTTAACTCAAACAATTGAAGACATAAAAATTTAATGATAACTAATTAAAAAGAAGAAAAATAAAAAATAAAAAACAAAGAGAAAAATGAAACACACTTGCCAGAATTTTGTGGGTGAGGTTTATGCATAAACATGAAAAAAAATTGCCAGAATTAATTTGGGTTTTAATCAAATTGGAGGCTAACAAATTGCACAAACATGAAAAAAAACTAAAAAAAAAATTTATATTGATTGGTTTTACGTGAAGAGATTTTTTTTTTTTTTTTTTTTTTTTTTGTAAATTTAAAGAGTTTATCTTAAAAGCAGTAGAAAACCGTTTGGGGAAATAACTTTATGATTGAGCATATATCAAAGTTCTTATGCTTTCAAGGAACACAAATTAATGGAACGAAAAATTGCAACATAATAAATTATGAGTACTGAATTAAGGATCGAATTCGGTACTTATTGTTTGGTTCTTTATTTTTTAGGAAGAGAGAGAGAGAGAGAGAGAGAGAGAAAATGATGTCATACGCTTTGTTTCTCACGGCACCAAACTTTGGCGCCCCTCAAAACATTGAATTGTGACAAATATGTAATTATTGTTTCAAATAAAAATAATTTTCAAATATTTATTTCTACAAAATTAGATATAGTTTTATCTATGTTTGGAAGTGCTTGGTGTTTTAAATTTGGAATTAGAACGTCAGTGATAAAAATTGTAATTATACAAGATGAGTATCGTTATGCTCCCCAAATGTCATTTCCCAAAATCAAAATCGTTTAGAAGCCATGGAAGGCGAGACATGTATGTATGGACTACAGATTGGACGGGTTATGAAAGCCATTAGCTCACCACCATTATCATCAATTAAAAAAAGTATACCTAATTACGAATTAATTAAGTGATTATGTAACATAAACCTAAATATTCACCCCCACAATATATAATGTGTACAAACATATATACATAGCCTACATATTCAACAAAAGTACTGTCATGGATGACTAACAAAGGCACTTCCAAATTCATGACTAAAGCGCACCAAATATGTTACACTAAGAATTATCTACAATATGCTTCAATTGACAGATTGAATCAGAATCGAAGGAAACCTACAAATCGAAATTGTTGAAGAGACATCGAACCCATGAGACATCACTAATTTTTTGAAGGTGGATAATTTATTCATCCTTCTATTCAAGTTTTGGTTTAGAATGTCTTAAAATTTTCAAGGGAGAAAAATAGAGGGTTAATGGGAGGGATTAATAGTGTTTCCATTGCCTACCATTATCTTGTGTTTCTTACTGGGTAACAGTAACAATGGTCACCCCGCAACCCCTACGTCAAGGTGGCGGAAGAAATTGTCAAGAAAGGTTCAGTTGCGAAGAAGGCGGCTTTCTTTGAAGCTTTCTATAAGAGGAGTGTGGCACAAAACTCTTAATTTTCTGTGGTTCGCTTTAAAATTCAATTTTCTGTGGTTTGCGTTAGAATTTTAACGCGAACCACAGAAAATTAAGAGTTTTGTGCAGCACTCCTCTTATAGAAAGCAATGATTTTTCAGCTATATATCTAAGGATTGGAAGAGAACATTAACAGAGAATGTAGAAAAAGGGCATATATTACCTGTGCCTGTGACCAAATGTATTAGAGGTATTTGTTTGTTTGACTTTCTCTCGCTCCTGTTGTTGCATCTTCTCGAAACTGTCCTCCCTTGCATCCCAAAAGTGACGGACTTGTAGAAATTCCAAAGTGAGATAATTCTCTCAAAGTCGAACAGAAATGCAATTTGTTAACATGAACTACTTCAATTCATAAACAACTCAATTTCTTTTTCATTTGTTTTGAGCAATTGTTCAATTACATGGATATATATAAGGCCAACCGCATTACAGACGTATTGAGGATCCATCATTTCTAGATAAAAGTAATAGCCTAACCCCCTAATGAAGCATTCCCCAAACCCCAAATGCCCTATATATCCTGCCTAGCATGAAAACCCTAATCTTCAAAATAAATTGTGTGAGGAGGCGAATGTAATATATTAGAACACTGAAGGCATTTATGTGATTTAACTGTATAACCACAGCAGGGCAGGATGGGAACCTGCAGAATCAAGCAATTTGCAGCAATCCATGATCCTCCAAGAAACAGAAAAATAAAATGTAACACTAGACACAAAACATCAGCAATAAATTGCAAATATGTTCCCTTCAAAATCAACAGCCGTTTCCTCCCTCATCGGGTGCAGATTCTTAAAGACTGTTGCAGTAAACTAAAAGCTCCAAAAAGCAGGATATAAGCATGTCCTATATTACACAAAGAAGTAGTTGAAGTGTGCCTTAGCAATTCATGGAAGGTATGAAGAGTACAAATGAAAGGAATATAAATTCTCATTAGACACACCCTAAGCTAACTTCATCAAACTGGTCATTTCTATTCAAGAGATATGATGAATAGGCAAAAATCAAAATATGACAAAGATCTGAGCAGTTCTTTATATGTCAGTGATTAGTGAAGGAAATCTTTTTGAGAATTGTAACAGAAAATATATGTGCAATATTAGTCAGAACAAAATTGTGATCATGTTAGTGGGAGAAGGGAAAGGAAACAGAAAGAGAAACAAAAATAAATCTGGACCCCGTTATGCATATTCGCAACATCTACTACCCGACTTGGGATATAGTCTACAAGGTATTCCAGTAATCTAACCGTGGTAACTTGATCACTTATTTACATGAAATTGGATAAATACAGTAGACAATTTGGATGGGGAAAAGTACTCATAGTAGCTACCCAGCAAAAACATTGGCCAAAGGTTTTGAGGGATGCAGTCCATATTATAGTTATCATTTGAGTCACAAACACCACGACCTACAGTTATCTTAAAGTGCACACACCCACATAATGCCCAAGGCAGTAGTGCAAGCAACCATTACCTGGGGCTGGGGAATCCTTGAGGGCTTTGGAATGCCTCTGTCCCTTGGCAACTTTGTTCTTGAACCAGACAAGCTGCTGATTGTCTTCACTCATTTGCTTCATCTGGCTCACGACCACCTCCAGGTATGATCTCATATCAAATTTGAGTTTGGATTTACCTAATCAATTGCACAGCATACAAAACATAATTGTAAAAGAAATTAGTAGAAGAAGTGAAGTACTATTGTATCTCCAAAAGAAAAATAAAGTATGCATTTAATTATCAAATGTAGGTGTAGGCCAGGAGAGCGAGGACCTGAAAATGCTGGTGAAATATAACCATGTCTCCTTTCTCTGCCATGTAACCATATAATTGGCGCTGCCCTCAAGGATAGAAAGGAACACGACGAGGATCGCAAGTCTCCCTATCTGTCCCTTTATCCTTGAAATGCTTATCCAGACGCTCAGCCTCTAAATAACCCATTGCTGAGCCCTCAAAAATCAAGACACTCATCCCTTGGTGCCCCTGTGGACCATAGGAGCGCCTAGCCTTCACAGCGCGATATGAGCTAAAGTAATCAAGAAGCTCTTGATTTCCCATGCCAAGCCACTGGAAGCACAATACAACATATTGAATAATCAATTAAAATCAAGCAAACAATTTTATTTCATAAAAACCAAATATAATGCATCTTATATGGCAGTTCCGTTGATTAAAATTATGTGGATATCATCCCTATAAAATAAACAAGACAAAATTGACTGTACCTTATCACTATCATCCTTCTCAAGTCTTGTATTCATAATGACAACCATGGGAGGCCAAACTATTTCATGATCCTTGACAGTTTTATCCAGACCTTTCCATTTGCCATATGCTTCACCAGCTGGTATGACCGATGTTCCCCTCCTGTGTAGCTCTTCCTCCAAAACTTCTGCAAATTCTCGGTGGAGCTTCACCCTGTTTGACCCTTTGGTCTTGGCATGTGTTGTGAGGGGCTGCAGGCCTCGATACCAATCGATGGCACCAGGCCCATTTTGACAGGCTGGGCAGTGCCACTGCCTTGCCAGTTCATGGATCTGCTCAACAGTCAATTTATCCAAGATATCAAAAAATGCATTGAACCACCTGCTCCTCTTACGTGTGTCGTGGCTTTTTTGGCTCACATCTGAATCCCAATCATCACCGAAAAGTTCATCATCTGTATCATCAACAGCATCTGAATCATCATCATCATCCCCAATCTTGTTGACCTTGTTCTCACTAACACCAAAAGTATGGGAATTCGGATTGATCTCATTTTTTTCCAGGTCACGTTCTGAAGGCAGAGTAGAAGCTGCGGACTTCCAATTCCAACCGTGCTGCAATGCAGGAGAAATTACAGGTATTGGGCTAGTGTAGTTGCTCTCAATACCTCTGTTCGATGATTGGGGTCTTGAATATCCTCTTCCAGGTAGTCTTTTGGAATCAGCATTCACTATTGGCAAGCTACTGCCAGAACCCTTTCCTGATCCACTATTACTCTGTATACCCAGCTTCTGAACTCCAGCTTGTGCCAAATCCAGGCTGATGTCTGCCACACCATGGTTCAACCGATCAACGCTGACGTTAGAGATCTCAGATATGCTATTTTCCTTGGACGAGTCAGTAGTACCAGCAACGAATGGCTTCGCACCCCCTTTTCTCGAATTCATTGTAGAATCTGTCATATGGTAAATGAAAATTCAGTTGGCACTTGAAATGAAGATTAAACTAGATGTTCAAAGAAACAAAACCAGAATTCTGCCTTATCAGTGAGACTATCCAAAGGAAGAATCCCAACAGCTTGTCAATATATAGACATAAAAATATCTGGTAAATTTAGATATAAGATATTCAGAACAAGGTACTCTATGGTCTTGTGAATCAAAAGGACCACTGAATACATAAAGACATAAGATTAATTTAGTAAAGCAAACTGCATATATAACTTGAAAATTGCAACTAACACAAAAAACATTAATGTATGTGAGCGATTCAAGAAATATCAGTTTCATTTGACGTGTAACTTATCCAGAAATCTAACAAATTTACCATAAGAAATACAAAACTGCAATTTTCACAATTTGTAATTTATACCCCCTTCAAATTGCAGTTAGCATAACTCAGGCTCCCTCCCAATTCATCTTTCTCCATGGCAAACAAAAATTAAATAAATGCATAAAAATGATAACAAAAACAGCAATAAAAAGAAGAAGACGACCAAGAAGAAGAAATGGCATATGTGGTTGGCTAGAACTCCCAAAAATCAACTCAAAAGGCTTTTTTCAACAATATATATATATATATAAAATTTTAAAATGATAACAAAAACAACAGCAACAAAAATAAGAAGAAGAAATGGCACATGCGGTCTCGAGCTAGGTTATTGCACATAAATTATGTATTAGTGCATGAAAAAGAAATTTTTAAGAAGAAAAAAGAATTTTTTAAGAAGAAAATGAAATAAAAAGAAAAAAATATGAGAGAATTTTGAAGGAAATGATAGGTTTTAATTGTAGAAAGAGAATGCAAAAGTTTTGAAGATGACAAAAAGAAATTTGAAGAATAAGAAGGAAAATGAATAAAGAATTAAAGACATTTTTAGAAATAGATAATTTTATGAGAATAATTTATAAATTTTGTGAGAGTGTTTTATAAATATTTAGAAATTATACACATAATAAAATAAAATATAGTGAATTCAGTAATAGAGAAGTTATTTTATTAATTTTAGGGAGGGCATTGTGTCAATTTCTACAAATTTATGTATAAAAAAATATATATATATTCTAGTGGGGCTGCCAGCTGCCCCTAGCCACATGCTGCTTCCGCCCCTGATTTGCAGGAACGCACTGCATCTCTTTTAATTAAAAATTTTATTTCACCTCCTTAAGTTTTAAAAAAATTGTCCAGTTGGTTAACATGGATTCTTAATCCTACTATAATAAATACAATGTCCTAAGAATTTAATATGACTGAAAAAAATCATCTGAGGAATGAAAATCAAAGAGAGACCCAAAAAAATAGGCAACTTATTGAGTTATTTTGTCACTATTTTGTACATCATTACCCATGAATTCTTTAAACCCTAAACATACAAAACGATTTTTAGGTCTATGAAACATGCAAATCGATTTTACATGCGGATCTCTGAATAGACCAACTCATTCTTGAAACCCTAAGCACAAAATTAAAACCTAAAAATCCAAGTAATCGTAAATCAATATCCCTAAATAAAATGTGAGAGCTCTAACCAGTGATTGAGAGAGTGAGAGATGGTGGCTTTCCGGTGAGAAGTCGGTGGCTGTCGGAGGCTCTTACGGCTGGGTTCCAACGTTGTTCTCTGCTACAGTGAGAAGTCGTACAATTTGTTTCTTATTCCTTCCAAGCGAGAAACACATTTAACAAATAATAAATAAATAAAACATGTGATTGCAATTTGCAAATATTTTCAGGACAATTTTGTAAAGATTCTTTTATAAATTATTTTAATATTTAATTTTTTTTTTTTGCTAGATATTATGATATGTATAATTATTATCGTTACAATTAAAAATAATTTTCAAATAATTATACAAAATTATAATATGCAACATTAATTAGTGTTAAGGTAAACACTTCAACTTCCCTTTGTTATATTTGGAAGTATTAAATAGAATTTGAAATTTGAACAAAATTTAGTGACAACACAAATACACTTTTCTAATGTTTCTACGTATACTGAAAGAGAACGTGAGATATAAAAAGCAGCAAAGGCCAATGTCCTTTAGTTAAACGTCTAATATGCAAACTAATATTTTCGGAAAACCAATGTCCTTTAGTTATACGTCTAATATGCAAACTAATATTTTTTGATAAATTATATTGACCTCCTCTATGAGTTTTCATAATTATACGGACCTCTTTCATAGGGCTGCAAATGAACCGAGCTGTTCATGAACAGTTCGGGCTCGTTCATTAAGCAAACGAGCCGAGCTCGAGCCCAATATTTAGGCTCGTTTAGTAAACGAGCCGAGCTTGAGCAACGCTGGGCTCGGCTCGCTTAGGCTCGTGAATATGAGCTCGTTTAGGCTCGTTAATGTTCGTGAACAAAGCTCGTATAAGACTCGTTATATTTATATACGTAATATATATTATATTATATTATATTTTATATATATATATATATATATATATATATATATATATATATATATATATATATATATGATTTTATTATAATTTATAGCATAAGTACCCAAAAGAAAATAGATTAAATTATAAACTATTGCACACCTGTCAATTGATCAAAACTTACCTTATCTCTTTGAAATCTCAAATCTTATCTGTTACTGTTTGGAAATCTCACGAATCTCTTGACCGGGTTAATTTTATCTCCATTTGGCATCTTCCCTTATTCATTCTCCAACGAAGACGATTTATTGTGACTTGCGAGGCCTGTTCTTCAGTTCCTCAGTTCCGTCTTTTGGACTCTGGAGTGAGCGAATTATGAGGCCTCTTCTTCGAAAGTCCTTTTGGGCTAACCGGTTACCTTGCCTGAAGGTTGACAATCTCGTCTCGATCTAGACTGCCGCAAGATAAGTTACTGGGAATTTTGGAACAGATCAAAGAAGCTAATCTCTTGGTGTTTCAGACATCAGAGGAAATTGAGGCTGAATCTTTGCCTTTGGTAAGAAATCCTAATTTATTTATTTTATTATTCTTTATTTTTTTTGGGTGTGGATTCAACCATTCTGTTCTGTGTCGTGAATTAGTTCTTTACAGATTAGTGGGGAAATATCTATTTCAATTTTTCACCCTCCAAGTGCGAACTATGAGAGAGAATTTTTTCCTAATTTATTGATTAAATTTTTTACTTCCATGATTTCTTGTTATTATATTATATATGGATAATTTTTTCCTATTTTTATAGCTTGTTTCTAGTTTGTACTCTGTAGGTGTTTTAGACATCAGAGGAAATTGAGGTTGAATCTTTGCCTTTGGTAAGAAATCCTAATTTATTTATTTTATTATTCTTTATTTTTTTTGAGTGTGGATTCAACCGTTCTGTTCTGTGTCCTGAATTAGTTCTTTACAGATTAGTGGGGAAATATCTATTTCAATTTTTCACCCTCCAAGTGTGAACTATGAGAGAGAATTTTTTCCTAATTTATTGATTAAATTTTTTACTTCCCGAATTCGCAATGATTTCTTGTTATTATATTATATATGGATAATTTTTTCCTATTTTTATAGCTTGTTTCTAGTTTGTACTCTGTGGGTTTCCTGGGACCTGGCAAACACAATGAATATTGTAATGACACAAATATAGCAATTTGTTGTTATTGTTGTATTTTTTTGCATGATAGTGTGTATGTGGCCTGTAGAATACTAATTAATTTTAAATTTTAATTTAATTTTTTTGTTAAACGAGCCGAGTCCGAGCTTTTAAAATCAAGACGAGCCCGAGCCCGAGCTGATCCCATAAACAAATGAGCCGAGCCCAAACAGCCTAAAGTTCGGCTCGGCTCGGCTCATTTGCAGCCCTACTCTTTCATGATTTTTAAAACTACTCTAACCACTCTTAGAAACAAAACCTTATTACACGGACCTCCTTTTTAACGGTCAGTCATGGAATTTGCTTATGTCGTGTACTTAATATATTCAAAATTCCACTGTTGCCCTTGTTTTAATTGAAAGATATTTTGAACCTTATAAAGTGACATGAGATTACAAAACCACCATAATCTCTTCCAACGTAACTCCTACAAAGTTTTCAAATCTCATTTACAATACTTCATCAACAAATCATCACTCAGATTTTCTCATCTTCAAGAGAGCAAACCTTGAAAGTTAAGAAAAAGAACAAGCCCATGGTTTAACACATATTTCGTCCCAACAAAATTAATATATTAATACAGCGATTAAAGAGCATTGATTAATTTTTTGTTTCTTTACTCCCTCCGTCCAAAATTAAGTGTCGCCTTTGGTATTTGTGACTCATGTGGGTCACAAATATCAAAGATGATACTTAATTTGGGACGAAGAGAGTATTATACAAGTTCACTGTGGGTCACTATAAGGGGAGGTATGTGTAATAATGAGTCACAAATACCAAATGCGACACTTAATTCGGGACGGAGGAGTATTATATAAGCCCATTGTGGGTCACTAGAAGGGGTGGTATGTGTAATAAAGTTTAGCTTTTAGGAGAGAGGTTAGAGTAATTTTGAAAATTATAGGGGAGCTTCATGTAATTATGGCAAACCTCGAGGGAGGTCAATATAAATACTCTCACAATAACTTACTTCCAAGTTCCAACATCACAGTGTATGCTAGAATATATCATTAAACACAAAATCAAAAGTATACAAACATATAGATATATAAAAACACAAAATCAATATGTTCATTACTCTTGGAAGCCATATTGGACGGATCATGGAAGCCATGAGGTCACCACCATTAAACCTAACTTCTGTACAAAGTATACAAACATATATATATATATATATATATATACACACACTACATATTCAACAAAAGTACTTTAATGTCAATAACATACCTATATGACATTTACAGAAGAAAGGAAAATGTTAAGAGGATTAGATGTGCCATGGCCTAATGTCTATGAAAGAAAAATTTGTCAGGTTATTAAACCCCTCGAAAACATTAACAGTTTCAATCAACTTCACTCAGCCCCAGAAAATCTATTAAGTTCAATTTCTTGAAGATGCATCGATAGACAAAAAGGCACCACTTCTGGTTTAACAAAATTGAAAATTATAAAAAAGACAAGCAAATACAACAATAAAAAGACAGGAAGAGCCATCTTTTAATAGTGTTTTCATTCCCCACCATGAAATGAGGATCCTTTTTTCTCAGTTTTTCAGGTTCCAAGAAATAAAATTCGTAATTCCAAACTCAAGACTAAAAGCAATCACAAATTTGTAAGACTTATAAACGACTCAAGACTAAAAACAATCACATAATCAGACTCATCATCAGCTGGCCTGTTTATGAAAACTCAGTCTATTTATGGAAACTCGGTCGGCGTCTTCTTAGAGTGTTCAACTATTTGAAAATATCCTTCTTCTTCACCATGCTCTTCTTAGTGTGCGAGTGTTCAACTATTTCAAAATAGCCTTCTTCCACTTTCTCTGCATCACACCATAACATCCATCCGATTTCGTTGTTCATCTTCATTCTCAAAAGAGGAGTACCTGCCCGAGGATTGACAAGATGTAGTATAGAACAGATAAAACCAAAAAAGTCACCAAAAAAGCAAGGCACCATTCCATTACATATAAAAACAAGTAACCAATCTTAATCTCTGAAATGGATGTCTCATGACCTGTTTGCAATCTTCCTATGTTCTTTAGAATGTTGTGAAGGTAATGATAAGCCTTAAAAACTATCTCAAGTTTCTCTGTGTTTCTCGTGTTTATAGTAGTAGTACTAACTGACCTCTATCTCCCGTCTCTGAAACATCTTACTTACCATCAGTAGCCGCTCTTTTTGCCGCCTCCATCAGCCGGTCTAGTTCAGCATCGAACTCCCTTTCCAGTCCAACCTCTTCCTCCCCGTGCTTTTTCTTCATTGAAATCTTTTTCTGTTCATGATCTTTTAGCAGTTTCTCCCTCTCTGCAACAAATTCTTCCATCTCCTTGTCCTGAAATTCAATGAATTTTGCAATTTCCTCCGTCCTATATCCAGGGTTTCAAATAGAAAATGAGAAGCAGAGAAGTTAATTATAACTTATAGACCAAAAAAGAACAGCAATGATTTTTTCAGCAATATATCCAAGGATTGGAAAAGAAAATTAAATTAACAGAGAATGTAGTAAAGGGGCATATATTACCCGTGCGTGTGATCACATGTATTAGAGGTATTTGTTTGTTTGACTTTCTCTCGCTCCTGTTGTTGCATCTTCTCAAAACTGTCCTCCCTTGCATCCCGGGCGTCCTGAATGATTCTTAGTTGTTCCTTGAAGAACAGTTCCAGATAGTCCATCTAAGCAGAATAAAAGGCAACAACCAGGAGGAAAGAGGGACCCAAGTAAGATAATTCTCTCAACAAGCATATTTCAAACACTTAACTTGTAGAAATTAACCAAAAGTAAGATGATTCTCTCAAAATCGAACAGAAGTGCAATTTGTTAACATGAACTACTTTTTTTTTTTTTTGATGAGTAAGTTAACATGAACTACTTCAATTCATAAATCATGAACGGCTGAATTTCTTTTTCATTTGTTTTGAGCAATTGTTCAAGTACATGGATATATATAAGGCCAACCGCATTACAGATTTAACAAATCTGATACTTAGCCCTAGCCAATCAGCAGACGAATTGAGGATCCATCATTTCAAGATAAAAGTAACAGCCTGACTATGAAGGATGCTTTGAGGTAAAACATCCCACTTAACAAAGCATGGATAAACAAGAATCATATTATCTGAACTCAATTAAGGATATCAACATTTATATTAACATGGGTGTTTGTAAATTATATCAGTGTTTGTAATGGGATCTACATAGAACAATGCCAATGTAAAATCGCAACTGATTGAGGAATGCCATCTATTAGTGATTTAAATGTGTCAAGAACTGAACCTTTGCCATTGTCTGATTCACGATTAGCAGTAAATAAAAAGTAATATAACTAACGCACCCCCCACACAGCCCCTAAGGATGGCAAGGTTCATATATGGGATGAAGCCTATCCTCCCTGCCCTTACACCCCCTAATGAAGCATTCCCAAACCCCAAATGCCCTATCAGCATGAAAACCCTAATCTTTAGAATAAATTGTGCAAGGAGGTGAATGTAATATATTAGAACACTAAACGCATTTATGTGATTTAACTGTATAACCACAGCAGGGCAGGATGGGTACCTGCAGAATCAAGCAATTTGCAATCCATGATCCTCCAAAAAAGGGAAAAATAAAATGTAACTTTAGACACAAAACTTCAGTAATAAAATTGCAAATGTATGCCCTTCAAAATCAACAGCCATTTCCGCCTTCATCAGGTGCAGATTCATAAGACTGTTGCAGTAAACTAGAAGCTCCAAAAAGATAAACGTGTCCTCTATTATACAAAGAAATAGTTGAAGGGTGGTGCCTTAGCAATTCATGGAAGGTATGAAGAGTACAATTGAAAAGAAAAGAAATTCTCATTAGATACACCCTATATGATGAATAAGCAAAATTTTGACAAAGATCTGAGCAGTTCTTTATATGTCATCGATTAGTGAAGGAAATATTTATAAGAATTATAACAGAAAATCAAAATTATATATACAATAGGTGTCGGAACAAAATTGTGCTTATTAGGTGGAAACAGAAACAGAAACAAAAAAATAAATAAATGAACATACAACTTTATCTGGAGTTCAATATGCATATTCACAACATATACTACTCGACTTGAGATATAGTCTACTAGGCATTCCAGTAATCTAACAGTGGTATCTTGATGACTTGTTACATGAAATTGGCTAATTAGACAATTTGGGTGGGGGGAAGTACTTATAGTAGCTACCCAGCAATAGTATATGCCTACTATATTTACCAAAGGTCTTGAGGGATTCAGTCCATATTATAGTTATCATTTGAGGCACAAACACCACGACCTATGTTTATGCTAAAGCGCACACACCCACATAATGCCCAAGGCAGTAGTGCAAGCAACCGTCAGTTGGGGCAGGGGAAGAGTCAAATTCAACATCACTGGAAACAAAATTTATTGCAGTTAACAATTACCTCTTCCTTATTTTCTTCGTGATGCTTTTTTGTTCTTTGCCTCACAATGCAGTTTTCCTCTGAGGTTTTCCGCAACTTCTCAGATAATATACCAAAAGACTCCTTGAGGGCTTTGGAATGCCTCTGTTCGTTGGCAACTTTGTTCTTGAACCAGACAAGCTGCTGATTGTCTTCACTCATTTGCTTCATCTGGTCCACGACCACCTCCTTGTATGATCTCATCTCAAATTTGAGTTTGGATTTACCTAATCAATCGCACAGCATACAAAACATAATTGTATAAGAACCTAGTAGAAGTACTCTTGTATCTCCAAGACCAAAATAAACTATGCATTTAATTATCAACTATAGGTGTAGGCCAGGAGAGCGAGGACCTGGAGAATGCCGGTTAAAGATATCCATGTCTTCTTTCTCTGCCATGTAACCATATAATTGGCGCTGCCCTCCAGGATAGAAAAAAACAGGATAATGATCCCAAGCCTCCCTATCTGTCCCTTGATCCTTGAAATGCTTATCCAGACGCTCAGCCTCTAAATAACCAATAGCTGAGCTCTCAAAAATCAAGACGCTCATCCCACGGTGCCCCTGTGGACCATACGAGTGCCTAGCCCTCACTGTGCGATATGAACTAAAGTAATCAAGAAGCTCTTGATTTCCCATGCCAAGCCACTGGAAGCACAATGCAACATATTGAATAATCAATTGAAATGAAGCAAAAATTTTATTTCATAAAACCAAATATAATGTGTATTTTATAACAATTCCATTGATTAAAAATTTAAAATTATGCGGTTATCGTCCAAATAAGATAAACAAGACAAAATTGACTGTACCTTCTCATTATCATCCTTCTCAAGTCTTGTATTCATAATGACAACCATGGGAGGCCAAACTATTTCATGATCCTTGACAGTTTTATCCAGACCCTTCCATTTGCCATACGCTTCACCAGCTGGTGTGACTGATGTTCCCCTACTGTGTAGCTCTTCATCCAAAAGTTCTGCAAATTCTCGGTGGAGCTTCACCCTGTTTGATCCTTTGGTCTTGGCATGTGACATAAGGGGCTGCAGGCCTCGGTACCAATCAATGGCACCAGGCCCATTTTGACAGGCCGGGCAGTGCCATTGCCTTGCCGGTTCATTGATCTGCTCAACGGTCAATTTATCCAAGATATCAAAAAATGCATTGAACCACCTGCTTTTCTTACGTGTGTTGTGGCTTTTTTGGCTCTCATCTGAATCCCGATCATCACTAAACAGTTCATCATCTGTATCATCAACAGCATCTGAATCATCATCATCATCCCCAATCTCGTTGACCTTGTTCTCACTAACACCAGAAGGATGGGGATTTGGATTGATCTCATTTTTTCCCAGGTCACATTCTGAAGGCAGAGTAGAAGCAACGGACTTCAAATTCCAACCATGCTGCAATGCAGGAGAAATTACGGGTACCGGGCTAGTGTGGTTGCTGTCAATAGCTCTGTTAGATGATTGAGGTCTTGAACTTCCTTTTCCGGGTAGTCTTTTGGAATCAGCATTCACTATTGGCAAGCTAATGCCAGAACCCTTTCCTGATCCACTATTACTCTGCATACCCAGCTTCTGAACTCCATCTGCATTTCCCCATGCTTTAGGATTAGAGTTCTTGGAACCCCCTAATTTGAAAGCATTACTTGCTCTACTTTTAGACTTCTTGGTATAAACCTCCCACTCACCATCTTGTGCAGAATCCAGGCTGAGGTCTGCCACACCATGGTTCAACTGATCAACGCTGATGCTAGAGATCTCAGATATGCTTTTTTCCTTGGACGAGTCAGTAGTACCAGCAACGAATGGCTCCGCACCCCCTTTTCCCGAATTCATTGTAGAATCTGTCATATGGTCATTGTTTTAAATGAAATTTCAGTTGGCACTTGAAATGAAGATTAGACTTGATGTTCAAAGAAACAAAACCAGAATTCTGCCTTATCAGTGAGACTGTCCAAAGGAAGAATCCCAACAGCATGTCAATATACAGACATAAAAATATCTGGTAAATTTAGATATAAGATATTCAGAACAAGGTGTTCTATGGTCTTGTGAATCAAAAGGACCACTGAATACATAATGACATAATTTAATAAAGGAAACTGCATATATATCTTGAAAATTGCAACTAACACAAAAAACATCAATGTATGTGAGCGATTCAAGAAACAACGGTTTCATTTGACATGCAACTTAACCAGAAATCTAAAGAATTTACCATAAGAAATACAAAACTGCAATTTTCACAATTTGTAATTTATACCCCCTTCAAATTGCGGTTAGCATGACTCAGGCTCCCTCCCAATTCATCTTTTTCCAGGGGAATCAAAAATTAAATAAATGCATAAAAATGAAAACAAGAACAGCAATAAAAAGAAGAAGAAATGGCATATGTGGTTGGCTAGAGCTCCCAAAAATCTACACAAAAGCCTTTTCCCAGTAAAAAGAATATATAAATCCCCAATATACAAATGATAACAAAAACAACAGCAATAGAAAGAAGAAGAAGAAATGGAATATGTGGTTGGCTAGAACTCCCAAAAATCATCTCAAAAGCCTTTTCCCAACAAGAATAAAAATAAATCCCTACTATAAAAATGATATCAAAAGCAGCAGCAATAAGAAGAAGAAGAAGAAGAAGAAATGGCATATGAGGTCTCGAGCTAGGGTTTGAGTTGTGTATTGGTTTTTCACGCCCGAGGACAGGTTGCAATTGTACGTCCATGGGGGAGGCTTCACCTCCTCCAAACCGCCAGAGAAGCACAAAATATAGTGATTATGAATTCATAATTGTAAATGGAATTTCTGAAACAACTTACTGAATCAAATAGGCAGTGAAGTAAGTCTAAATCTCCATTTAATAAAACTCCACAAAATCAATCAATGTCTCCATACTAACAGAAACACAAATAAAACAGACTTTCACTCAAACAAACAAACACAAATAGAAACACAAAAATGTGATCTGCATCAGAAATGAGGATGAGATATTACCTAAAAAGCCCTGTAAAAGAAACACAAATAGAAGTCAGGAAAGTAGGCAGAGAGATCGAGCAAGAGTATATATTGAGTGTATATACATAATATACATACATATATATATATATAGAGAGAGAGAGAGAAATTAGGGAAACGACATCAGAGGTGGTAGAAAGATATAGAAACAATGTAAAGAAATAGATATTTACAGAGATGAAATCCACACAAACACGCAGTCACTATGCACAAACAATAGAAATTGGAGTAGATAAAACCACATATACGAACCGATTATTTGTGTTTGTGTGGGTGTGTTTGAAGAAAGAGGAATTGCTTATGAGTAACATGTATACATAGAGAGAGAAATTAGGGAAAGGACATCAGAGGACCATAATACAAGGACAGGGGTAGTAGGAAGTCATAGAAACAATGTAAAGAGAGATACATTTACAGAGAAGAAATCTAAACACACAGTCAATATGCTTAATGAAGAATACATACATACATACATACATATATATATAATATAGCGCAAACAAGAGAAAATGCAGAATAGAGAAGCACAGAAACGAACCGATTATGTATGTCTGCTACCGATTATGTATGTATACTATATATATAGATATAGATATATATGTTTGAAGAGAGAGAGAGAACAAAGGAAACAATAGTAGTATTACCTGATTCCAACCAGACTGAACCAGTAATCGCCTGAAAATGGTAAGTTTTCCGGCGAACTCCCCGTCGATTGTAGAGAGAGACACGCACAGAGAATACTTATTCAGAAAGCAAAAGTCCGGACTCCAAAAATTTATGCAATTTGGTGAAGAAATAAGCGTGTGAGAGTACTGGTGGTGACTGGCAGTAGCAGGCTTGCAGTACGGAAATTTTTGGACAAAACGGATTTTCTTGACGTTTGTGCTTTTGATGCAAATTTTTTTTTTTTTTTTTTTCAATTTATTTATTATAAAAGTAAAATCATTTTTATCTTTTTCAGATAAAATATATTGGTTAGTATAAATGACACTACTATAAATTTATCTTCTATTTTCACAATAAGTTAATTCAAAATTAGTCCATTAAATAATTTAGCATTTCCTTATTATTACATGATGGCCATAAATTTAAACAAAAATTGTTAAAAATCCGACCTTAAAATCAAGAAAAAATAAATAGTGATTAATTTTAAAACTTAATTGCTAATAAGTGATTATTTAAGGATAATTTGGTCAAGAGGTTAGGTGTAACGGGTCGTAAGTGTTTGCCATCTAATCTAAAAACTTACTCTTGTGGCGTGAACTCGTAACTCCCTCATTGGTATTAGATCATCATTTTTACACATATATGTTCACTTTAAAGTCGAGAAGATCAAATTTGGCGTGACATGAAATCAAAAATTGAGCACGTTTTGATAACACTTGTAACAAGTCATGCAATTACCATTGTTGTGAAAAAAAAAATCAAACTATTAAATGGTGTTGCATACTACTCATATATGTCTAAGACCTTTCAAATCCGAATTACACGCGAGACAAGAATTTCGTTACACTAGGGCTATCTATTTATAAAGCTTGAGGGACTTTAGGGGTCTTTTTTCTGATTTTTTGCCAACTTTCCTGTGTCTGTCCATCCTATTGGCATGACTAATTCTATTTAGCTTTTCTGACAGGAAGTACAGGAATGCACTTTGAATTATCTTAGTTATCACTTCCTTGGTCTCAAATTAAAAATTCCACCCAAAGGGGACTTTTAATTTGAGACAGGGAAAGTATATATTTTTTAAACTTGAAATTTAATTATCCATTAACCAATAATGTAGGAAACTTGTAACACTCTTTGGTTCAATTAAAAAAAGCTCTTAAATTATTTAAAAAATTTATAAAACAGTATTATTTCAAAAGAGATTTTTTAGTCTAGAAGTGTCAACTAAACAAAATTAACTACTATTCTGATTTCCAGTTATGTAACAAAAAAAGAAAAGAAAAAATATATTATTAATTTATTATTATTAAAAAACCAAACCCAGCATATATACTATATATTCATGGCAAAATACCTCGCCTCGTAGGGTACTTGCACCAACCCGCCTTGTTTAGAATAGTTATGGGAATGATTAAGCTTCCTTTGGTTGGAGGGATAGAAATTAAAATGGATGGAAGAGAGATAGGGGGAGAGATGGAAGAGGCATCTCTAGGGAAGGGAAGGTGTCTCCTTCATTTTTTATTTGGTTGAATGGAAATAATAGTAGAAATGATAATTGGGGTGATACTTTTTTATGTTTGGTTGAAAAAAAGGGAAAGATATAGGTTTTATATATTTTTTACCAATACAATATATCCCAATTATATAAAATAATAAAAGGTAGATATTCATTTGAATTTTTTTGAAAAGGTTAAAGATTGAAAATTGTATACGTGTAGTTATTCAATTTTTCTCTCATCTCTTCCTCCAAAATTGGGAGGATAGAAAAATAAGAAGAACTTGTTTCCTCCTTATCTTCTCTTCCCTTCAACCAAACACGAGAAGTTTCAATTATCCATCCTCTCATCCATCCCTCCTCAATAATATCAAGTCTAAAGTTTCAATTGAGAAGTTGAATTTTGTTATTATCCGCACAAGAAAAAAAGAATTATTACCATATTTAAAAATTTATTCCGTTTTACTTTCGTTAAATTCGTAATACAATTACGAAAATATTCTACAAAATACGTCCAACCCCATTTAGTAAGTAGCTATACTAAACGGGGATGGGAAAGCGTTTTCGCCCGAAACCGCTCCGTTGCTATCTTATTCACGAGTCATCTAATACTATTATCATCTTGGACCTTTCTTTACAGTTATAGCATTCTCAATCTTCTATTGGCTCCCTCCCTGTGCTGCAAGCCCACAACCAGCCACTCTAGCCAATTTAAATTATTTTCCTCTTCACCTTTTTTATTATTATTATTTTTCTTTAAACATGAAAACATTACTCCTATGATTTTACAAAAAAATAAAAACAAACAACATTAATTCTCACGTTCTATGTCTATTACTTGTTTGAGGAATTATAAAGGTAGATCAATCAGAATTGCTTTTATGTCTACTAGCATTATTATTGGGTGCGCTATGCACGTCATGTCGTCAACAGTAAAGTTATAAATAGGTGAACTAATTTTTTTTTTTTAAATAATGCGTTGCCATTGGTTGAGTATATCAATGACATGGCATGCAAGGGGCACCCAATATAAGGATAAATTATGAATGAGAAACATTAGCAATTTCTTGAGAAACTCATTCTCTTCTTTTCTTTTGAATTACGAAAATCGATTGTCCCCTTTCGCAATACTTTTGCATTTCTCAAAAAATACTCTTATCAGCTTCAACTAATCACTCAACCCCAGAAATCCAGTAATTTCAATTTCTTGAAGATGCATGGACAAACAATAAGGCACGACTTCTGGTTCAACAAAATTGAAACCCTTGGAAGCTTTACGTCCATAATGTAGAGAGAAATCAGAAAAGCTCATAAATTGTGGATCAAAAACTATATACATACATACATAAATATAGCAAATTGTTCCTCATAAGATTACTCACCTTCAATTTCTTCGAAACAAAATACAATAGGTTAGGCATGCAATTGAGCAAGTCTGGTAAGACGTTTCTAGCCATAGCAATTGTTAACCTCTAGCTCCAAACCTACCAAATTAGGGAACTAATAAGATATGAACATAAAAGCCGAATATGAGTACTATATATAAGAGATTCAACAAATTTGGATAAATGGGCGCCCATTTACCCAAAAGCTCGAACTGTTAGGTAAGGTTGCATACCCACCCATTTATACCCAATCTCTTTCCCATCCGATTCCGATATGGGACAAAATGACCCTTGTTACATTAGGACACTCTAATTCTCCCCGAATGCAAGGGAAAGAGACACAAGAGCATCCTTTTTCTCAGGGTCCATTAGATTATTTCCTTCCAACATTCGATGGAAGTAATAAAACTTTTCCAGTTTTTCAGGTTTCCAAACTCATTACCAAAGAAATGGTCAGGTTACGAAGTACCCAACTTCATTCCTCTCTATAAGGGCCAATTTCTCACTCCGGACAGAAATGGTGTTGTGACCTCATGTGCGTTGTCCAATAAAAATAAGGACGAAAAAGAGTCCTATTATAAGGTCTCTAAATTTTTTTCTGTCGAGTAGGTAAAAACTACAACCGTTGTATATTCTAGGTGATACAACAAAGTAATGATTTCAAAGTTGTCCAATTGATTCACTTATTTTAGTATGTGGGACTCATTTTTGTAGAACATTCCAATTGGTGGGTTATAGCATAATGTTGTCTTCAATATTCTTTTTCCCAAATAAGTTTTACAATCAAGCAGTTTTAGTTTAGGGGAACAATGTTAAGAAAAATATATATATATTTAAAAGAGGAAAGAAAAATGACAACTTAAAAAAGAAACAATTAAAATTTATTTTAATAAGGAAAAATTAACTTTTTTTTTTTTTTTTTAAGGAATTTGAAGAGTAAATTAGAAAGGAAAAAAAAAAAAAACTAGAAAAATAATAGGCATTATGTATAAATTTTCTCATATACACGTCCATATATATATATATATATATATTATACAAATAATCACAATCAATTGATGTAAGAGCTTCAATACATCATGATGAGGAGTCTTCAGCCAGGAAGTTTGACCGTCACGCGTGCAAGATTCCGCGGCGACTCGAAGCGACGTCGTACCTGAAAAAGGAAGAGAAAGATGATCGAGTATCGTAGTGGTATCGGCCTAAGAGCCTCCGACGATCAAGTCAATGCTAGATCAGGAGGGTGGAAAGAAAGTTAAGAGACTTTCTTAGGGATTTGTGTCGTACTTTTTATGTTAATCCAAAAGCCCTCTTTATATGGGTGTCAAGTTGTATTAAAGAAGGAGTAGTATTCCTCATACTTTTTCAACACGGAAGGGAGAACGTATTCTTATCCTTATCAAAGATAGTGGAGTTTATCCTAATTTACAGCTTTGTGTGACGATCAAACTTCCTAACTGAAGACTCCTCATCAGTTGCCTCCCATTCTCGGGTTTGTATGTCGAACGTAGAGAATGTAAAGATTTATTCCTTTAACTTATTCTTCACCATGCCATATATATATTTACATATTTTTATTTTTGTCCAACAAGTAAAGATAACACATATATACTTTACTTGCTGGAGAAATGCACATGGGCTCATGTAGCCCACATGGTTAAGACCTTCCACCTTGGTGGTAGGGGTCATGGGTTCAAAACTCCCTTCGAGTGCCAAAATACTCTTTTTAATTAAAAGAGGTAGCTTACGTGGCACAGGTAGGGGTTCTCACGGTTCCAGTCGGAACCGGAACCGTTCATAACGGTTCCTTAAAATCGGAATCGAAACTGGAACTGTATAAGTATGGAACCGAACCGGTTCAGTTCCATGAGAACCGGTTAACTTCTAGCCATAAGACTGTTTGCTCTTTTTAGTTTTTTCCCCTGTTGTACCCTTGTCTTTTTAGTTTTTTCCCCTGTTTTTTAGTTTTTTCCCCTGTTGTACCCTTGTAAAAAAATGAATTTATCTGATAGTTTGAAATTCTCTATAATATTACATCCCAAAATAAAATACTAATAGTTTGAAATTCTTCCAGATAAACTGAAAAACAGTATGTTGCTGACCTAAGACGGTGTATGGGTGTAGATCGGAGAAGCCGTGTGACGGTGTCGATGAATGACTGATGAGAAGATCCAAAGATGAGAGGATGAGGAGT